GTGGTGCCGAATAGTACTGTGGAAGAGTAGGATCGTACCGGAATGGCTCAGGATCCTCCTGCTGCAGGGATGGCTCAACCTGTGGTAGCGAGGGAGGATCAGGTAGCTCCCTCCTTTCTTCCCAGGCCTGTTGGGCAGCGATGAGTCTCTCCAGCATTTCAAATAATCGGTCAACATCCTCTCGAAGCGAACCGTCCCAAACTGCTTAGTTTAATGGGGATCTTCTTCTCCTCATCTATCTGTACTTGCATTTCACAAGAAATGGTTGAGTGATAATTTATTTTTTTGGTGTTTCCTAAGGTTTTTGTGTAAGGAATGCTTCTGAGGAACGCAGCTCTGATATCAACTGTAATGATCCAGAACTTAAAAGGAAATAAATTATAAATTGAATGCGGAAGCAAAATAAAAAAGTTAGGGTTTACATTCCTTACACAATAATTCAGAATACCCAATATGGCTACGGGAATGACTCTTCTAAATGAACAAACAAAAAATCAAAGAAATAAATAGAAAGTAAACAACTGGGCATCCTATTTGCAACCCTCTTGTGGATTAGGATCTAGGTCTTGGTCCTCTTGATCTGAAATAGTTAATGAAAGAGTGAGCTACACTAATCCAATAAGAATGTCACGCTACTCACCGATACAGAAATGAAAGTTGGTAAAAATCATAAAAATAACTAATGGAACTCTTAATTTAGGTAAATTCATTTATCACAAATAAAATCATTTATTACATACTTACCATATCAAGATTTTCAAAACTGACCTATATAGGTAAAATACAGACAATATCATAATCTCAGTTCTAATTAACCAGAACAACTTTCTCTTTTTATCTGCCTACGAGTATCCATCGGAGTCCATGAGGATGTCCCCACTACGCGTGAACCCATAACAAAACTTGTCAACTAACTGGCCATCCCTATACCCCGTCCAGTATGAGCGCCAAAAATATCATCCCTTAATACTCCATCTGGTATGAGAATAAAACATGTCATCCCCATACCCCGTCTGATATGAGCACCAAAAATATCATCCATCAATACCTCATCCGGTATGAGGGTGAAATGGGTCGTCCCCATACCCCGTCCAGTATGAGACAACGTTCACGGTAGGGTTCTCTATATACCCGGTCTGTCCACCATCTCTCAAGATATTGAGTAAGGCTACCATTCATTCATTCATTTAATCAAGCAATTTTTCGTTTACATTTAATTTTTAGTTTTCACAGTTTAACTATAAATCACGCAAAACAAGCAATAGATGCATCAAGAAAATACAACCGAATCATCTTACTAATTCCAGTATATTATCATGCATTCGAAATTGTAAAATCAAACAATCAGTTAAAACATGACAAACAGTAACAAATAACCAGTTTCGTCTCTATTAGTAACCTGTAATTAATTATCAAAATTTTTTAAATTTCACAATATACTGTATTATTTATTATTAGACTTCAATTCTATAACAGGAAATAAGGTGAGGGATTCTTACTCAAATCGATATCTGAAACACTAAACTTTCAACTACGCTTACTGGCAGTCCCGAATTTTTTGAATTTTTT